AATAAACAGAAACATCCTTAAAATAATGTCTTAATATCTCAAAGTAATTAGAAGCTTTCTCAAAATAATGAGTCAGTATTTCGATGCCTTAGTATCTCAAGATAATGAGAAACATTATTAAAATAATGAGTTAGTATCTCAAAGATAATGACTTACTTATCTTGAAATAATGACTGTTAAAAGAAAAATTGGAAGATATTGAGACATTTTCATCACAATAGTGGAAATGGATTTCCAAACTACTTGAACCTTAAAGTCAACAGGTTTGATAGAATGAATAAAAGCCTATTCATGTCATTGAGTTCACTTGGCAAGAGTTCAGTGTAAAATGGTTTTGGGGCAGTGTCAGTGTCTTGCTTAAGGACACTTCAGTAGGCTCTTTACTGCTTGTTTTGTATGTTTTATGCCTGTGCACTTTGTCTGCTGTATTAGGAGTTTTGCAACTGGCTAATCCTTTGAGGATGCAATCACTACTTTGGGCCAAGTATTCTTTGGCGCACCATGTAAAGAATCCCATCTGCCTTTTCAGTTGAGCCAAAGTGAGACGAGTGAGGAGAGACAGGTCTTGTCAAAAAGATCCTGTTTCATGACCCTCAGTTCAACACAAGAATCATTTGTTATTTTTATGGCCACCACTACTACCTAGCAGTTAATTCTTTGTGCTGTATCCAGTTTAGCGTCACCACCTGCTGTTAAGGGGTGAATATGTCAGGTACCATTTTCTAAGGGTGCTTTCAGACCTAGAGTTGTCTTGCTTTGGTCCGAATCAGGGACGCGGCTCCAACTAGAAAACAATGTTTTGATGCATTGGATGTGCTGAATGTGCATATTAAGGCAGTACAGGAGGAGGTGCACATTAATAAACCTCCAGGACTGTAACATGCTCATGTTTAACCCAAACAATGTGTCATGTGACTGCAGTTGGTTCGGATCGAGGTCGGAACACGTTCACACCACAAACGAACCATACCAGAGTTTGTTTGTAACCGGACCGAGACCACCTCTTCAAGAAGGTCTCAGTCCAGTTGTTTTGTATCTTTGTCATGATGTGACTTTCATGAGAACAGCTGACCCGCGTGTCTTTAAAAACTAAAAGAGGTTGCTGTCGAGTGATGTAGCGTGGCATTCTATCACTACAAAGGGTGTGTGCAATCCTGTCTCAAGTATGTCACTTCATTAAGCACATCAGTCAAAGGAAGTGGCAGCTTACAAGCTATGACGCAGACTGAGAATATGCAAATTTTGTCCTGATATGCAAAAATATGGAAGTCCATTTTCCTACCACTGTAAACAAAAAAAGATCCCATAAGTCCTGGGAACTGCCCATTGGTCCGACAGCCCATTGGTCTGACCACATGAAACCCATTGTTCCGAAGTCCCGTTGTTCCGAAATCATCATGATGCCCTGTGGTTAAGGTCTGGTCAGGTTTAGGCACCAAAACCACTTGGTTAGGGTCAGGAAAAGATCATGGTGTGGGTTAAAATGAAAAAGAAAGTGACAAACACATAAGCCGTGAGCCTGCTTCACCTCAAGCCTTTCCCAGCTGACCCAGAGCCGGTCACGGCGCACCATCAAGGTAGAAATACGCCCGCCGGGAGCCGTTCAGCACCGCGGACCGTCGGACTAATGGGATGTCGGACCAATGGGCTATCGGACCAATGACATGGACCCTAAGTCCTTATGGTGAGAAACCTTCTCAAAGTAATGATTCATGGCTGTAATAGTTTAGTATATTATATTACTATAGTATAGTTTGTTTGTGGCCGGACCGAGACCTTCTTGTTTTGTATCTTTGTCATGATGTGACTTTCATGAGAACAGCTGACCCGCGTGTCTTTAAAAACTAAAAAAGATGCTGTCGAGTGATGTAGCGTGGCATTCTATCACTACAAAGGGTGTGCGCAATCCTGTCTCAAGTATGTCACTTCAATAAGCACATCAGTCAAAGGAAGTGGCAGCTTACAAGCTATGACGCAGACTGAGAATATGCAAATTTTGTCCTGGTATGCAAAAATATGGAAGTCCACTCCCGCCACTGTAAACAAAAAAAGATCCAATAAGTCCTTATGGTGAGAAACCTTCTCAAAATAATGACTTATGGCTGAATATATAGTTTAGTATATTATATTATTATAGTATAGTATTATATTACTATAGTATAGTTTGTTTGTGACTGGACCGAGACCACCTCTTCAAGAAGGTCTCAATCTGGTTGTTTTGGTGCACACCCGAGTGCAATTGCTGTGTTCACACCTGCCCAAACGAACCACACTTAGGGGGCAAACAGCTTGAGTTTGACTGAACTAAACCAAACAGAACAGGTCTGAAAGCACCCTAAAGATGCAGTACTACATACTGCTAGCTCACCGAGTTCCACTGAACTAGCTAACGTTACAGCACAGCTGAGGAAGACACCGTTAACGTTTAATCTTGTGTTAGATGCACACATCCTTCTGCATTGTAATACAGTTGGCAGTAGTTAGGTAGAAGGAAAATAGCCCATACACGCGTCTGACCAATTGTGACATGCCACTGAATATGAGCCCCCTGATTGGCTCACACAGTTGTCAATCATGTTGTAAAATCCCTGTTTTATAGCATTAAATAACTAATTAAAACCAAACTTATCAGAAAAACAAACAAACGTACAGCAGTGTGATAAAATCTACCTTAAATGACAGACACCATCTTTGGAAAAAAAATTGTTTGATGTGTACTTTGGGTTGTTAGTTTGGTTCATGTCCCATCCACTAACATGGAGAGGGCTGGCCATATGAGCTGTAATGCAGCCAGGTAACAGGGGGCGATTGAGATGTTTTGGCTTCACTTTGGGGGAGCTGTCATGTCATCCATCTTTATATACTGTCTATGATTCCAATATGAAATTGCTCACAAGTTCTGTTGATTATCATGAGTAACCAGGTCATGATTCACAACACGAATGCCGTTCTCTCAGGTGAAAGTCGGTGGTTGTTGGACCTGTCCACCACCCTCCCTCTCGCTCTGCTCGGACTTTCGCCCCCTAAATTTTTGGTCTTGTCCTACTGGGACCCCCCCCCCCCCCTCGAGTGTCGTTAAACGCGCTGGATTACCATGACTCAAGAGTGAGACCGGGCTTGGTTTCTGGAAAGAGACATTGCTGTTGATTTTTTGAATGTATTTTTTGGCGCTTTTAGCACCACAGGCCGAATGCCATCTAGTTCTGCCATATTCAAGAAAAGGCACACATCTCTGTGGCCAATATCGCCAACATTTGGCAACTCACACTAAAACAATCTAGATTAATACATAGCACTACTATGTATTTTCGATTTGAGGTGAACTGTCCCTTTAAAATGTCTTATTAAAGATACACTTTAATAACGTGCTCTCCAAAACAGTCTGTCTAGCCAAATATAACATGACAAGCATATGAGAAATGTCACTTTCAAAATGAATCAAATCACTGCAGTTTTCATTGTAAACTGTACAAATTGGAAAGGCGTACAGAACAGCCTCACATTATTCCATCACGGTTGGCTTGTTCTGGCTGACTCCTTTGATTAATGGAATCTTGCTTAATCCTGCATGCTTATAGAAATATGTTAAAAATGCTTTTGATAACTGGGATAATCTGAGGTACAGTAATTGGTGTTTGTGTTTCCTGGAGATTACAGAACCCTTAAAAAAAATAAGGCTAATAAGATGTAAAAATGGGATACAATTTGGTCAACTTTGATTTTTAGTAAAAAGTAAACTGCATTTGTTGGGCACTGTTTTCAGATGTGGATTAATACACCTTGGGTTCCCTAGGGAGCATCTAAGGCAAAAGAATGATGTATTTGGGATGGAGGGTGCCCATGTTAACTGTAGTAAAGTCAAGTTACATCTAAGTTAAAATTTCCAAGTATTGATTTTATGTTGGGAAGAAATTACAGTGAATCATCTGTCCACTAAACTGGACATCATGCAGCACTGGCTGTATTTGAACTACAATTAATAGCATTACTGCACCTTCTACTTCATTTGCAGTGACTTTTTGGGTTGTGAATAGATTAATTTATGTTATCAGAATTTACTTTAAATTTAAAAAACAATATTTCATTTTATTTTTTATTTTTGTAGAAACGCTTATTGAAAAAAATAGTTTAACAGGGGGAGGAATTAAACAGTACTGAATTATATCAAAATATGTGAACACTAGAGTGTTTAACAGCAGTAAGATATATTTTTATAGTTTCACATAATACATTGCATATTGTCATTATTTTTTATTTCTCCAGTTGAAAACTTAAACGCATACTGTCCACCCGAATGGATTTTTTTTAATACTTCTTAACAACAAAAAAAAAAAGAACGTAAAATTTTTGTTTT